GGGGGGGGGGGGGGGGTTGTTGTATAGGTGGCCTGGACTCTGTGGAGCGTACCCACAGGTGGTCCTGCTGTGCTTGCAGGGCATGCTGAGGGGTGGGGGCTCCCTGCTCTCGTTCTCCATGTGCTGCTCACCTATCCCTCATTTCTTTCAGAAACTAGTAAAGACAGCTCTGGCACCAAGCCGGCCAGCAAGCGGCCCTTGTCCTCTCCGGAAATGTAAGCAGGAAGCCCCTTCCAGGAACCTTCTGTGGCTGGGGGTGGAAGCAGTAGGGTTCAGCCTCATCAAACAACTTGGGTGATCTTAACCGTGACAAGTCCTGTGTTGGTGGGACCTGCAGTACTGTCAGGGCCCATGGTGACTTTCTCTTTCCCTTTTTTGTCTTCTAAGAAAATCCGCTCCAAAGAAGTCTAAAGCAGATGGTCAGTGAAAGGAAGCTGACCAGCCCCTGGATTCTTCTCCAGATCCCCCTTCTGCTTCAGGAACCACCTGCCAGGGCCCACCCCTCCTACCCCACCCAGCGTTCGCACTTCACGGTCATGAGCCACTGGCCACCATCCATCCCCTCTCCCCTTTCTCTCTGTTTTTAAACTCTAAAGAAAGCACATTTGACCATGCTGTTGGGAGGAAGCAGAGGTGGATTGGAACGAGCAGAGAGCAAGTGAGAGAGCAGCGCTCCTTCCTGCAGCGCCTGTGCCTCTAGGGCCGAGCGACTAGAGAACTTAGAGACCTTTACGGGAGAGACAGAAACTGAAATTTCAGAGGAGGATGGCAGAAAGCACCCACACTTCAAAGACTGCATATGTTTTGTGGTTCATCACCCTTGGCCTGAGGGGCCAGCCAAGGGCTGGGTGGGGGCAGGCATAGGAGCCGAAGAAAGGCGCCCGTGGACCCCATGCAAGAGGCTACCCCAGGCACCCTATCCAGGGTGTCTGTCTGCTTCTGTTGCCCTTGTGTTTCCAGCCGCCTGGCGCTGCTTCCTCAGGCTCGCCCAGCCTGCGTCTGTAGGAAGCTTGACCTATTTTCTCAGAGGCCTTCGTGCTCCCGCCTCTTCTGCCCTCCCCTCCTCTTTCCCGTTTAAGAAAAAGAAAAGAGATGGAAAAGGAGGGGAAAGAAGGAGCCCCGTGGCGGCCTGAGCAGTGTCCTGGAAGAGCTCCCGACGGGTGCGGCATAGCCCACCCCACCGCCAGGCTGCCTGCCCTGCCCAAGGCGGGGGCCGCCTCACCCACTGCTGCATTTGTTGTATTTTTTAAGTTGAAATCAATGAAGTTACCATTTTTATTGTAATTTTAACCTTAGCGTGTGGGGTTTTGTCCCTTTTTTGTTATTAGCTGTGTACAGAATGTGTATCTCTCTTTTTTTTTTTTTTCTTCTTTTCTCCTTGGCTAATCCTTTTTCTGGAGGAAAAGCTGGGGGCAGCCGGGGCAGGAGAGATGAATTTCCCATGTGGGGCCTGGTATTTGCTGCCCAACCCAATTTCCTATTGCTGGCCCCTGCCCTCTGTCCCTTTGCCTGTCCCCAGGCCTCTGGGACAAAAAGAAGGTGAGCTGTCAAACCTCACTCCCCCTGGGTGATCACTCCATGCCTATAGGCTTGAGCTCGAGGGAGCTGAAGCTAGAACCTCCTTGCCCTGGGCTCACAGCTTTCTCCACCCCTGGCCAGAATTGAGGCCAAGAAGCTCTCTCCCTCAGTGTCACTGGCTCGGAGACCCTGATACTCTCAACTGTTGTTTCCTGCAGCTCCCCCACCCCCAGTTGTAGTAGGGGGACTAGGCCTCCATAGAGGCAGCCCAGAGAGGGCGATTATGTGCTGTCACCCACGAGGGGGGCTGGGGCAATGAAGCAGATTAACAGCACCAGCCACTGGCTCTTAATTTTCAGCACTGTTCCCCGGGCCAGGCCAGTCCTCCTCCTAAGGGTTAGACTGGGTAGTTGGGGGCTCTGCTTGGAGTTTTCTGCTTCACACCCGAGCTTTAGGCAAGGAGCAAGACTTGCAAGCAGGTTACAGGTGGGTTTAAAATAAGCAGCCAATTTTCAACCCTCCATCTCTGGAGACATGGCGGGGGGTGGGGGTGGCTCCCCACCTCTGGTCTGTGCCCTGTAGGCCCCCTGGTTTGTTGTATTATAAATGTATTTCGCTGTGGAAAATGTCACGTTTAGTCATCTCAGCCCACTCGCCTGGTCCCATTGTTTTACCCTCTCCCTTCTCCCAAGCGCCCTTTGATTTCTCTTGTTTCCGAGAACAGCACACCCATTCATCTATTGTAGAGTAACCCCTGTGACTCAATATTACCATAGTGCGATGTCGTTTTGTGCTATTTTGAACAATTAAAAGACTTTTTTTGAAATAACCATCTGGTGTCTCTCACTATGTCGGACCTGCCCAAGGCTCCCTAGAATCCCTGGGACTCTGCTTCCCCAGTGCAGAGGGCTCCAGGGCTAGGCCCCTGCTGTGGCCTTTGGACTGAGCCTGTCTCTGGCAACTGCCTTGCAGGGCAAGGGCCAAGGGGCTCCTTGGGCAGCCATCTGGAGGCTGAATCACCTTCACTCCCCACCCCCGCTCCCATTAGAGGGCAGGGGACTGAGGCAAAGGCCTGGCAGGTCACTGGTGGCCTCTCCGGATGGGTTGTGGGGAGGGGGCTGAGCCACAGCTTCAATGTGCTTTCCGCTGTGAGCTCAGGGCCCCCAGAAAGTCCAGTCACTCTGGTACCAGAAGATCCCCTAGGTATCAAAAGCCTCCATCTCTGCCTGCGACGTGGGGGGTATGCCTGCTGATGGACCACAGGAAGTTGCGGGCCCACTGGACTTCGGGAACCCTCCGCAGGGTGAGCCTTTCCCTGATGCCCACGCTGCTGGGCTCTGTGGTGTCTCATACTATGTGTGGTCCGCTGTGCCCCGCACCTAGCTTGTTGGTCTTGGCACCAGAGTCCATGGCTCTGTCTTCCCCACTGCACCAACTCTGACCTGCCTTTGAGCCCAGAGTATGGTCTTCAGGGAGTCAGGACAGCGGCCTCACAGGAGGCAGGACCCAGGGAGAGGTGAGGGGAACTGTCCCTCCGAGCAGAGCAGTAGGAGCAATGCAAGGGGTGGGGAGGACATGGGCCAGCTGGAGTGAAGGATCCATGTGGAGCTGGTCCCAGAAGGGGAGGGGCCTGTGCAGATTTGCCAGAAGTGTGACAGATGGTTTTGTGGACTCAGCCTGGAGAGGGGTGCGAGGGTTCTTCCCACCCTACTCCTGTAGCCAGCACCTGCAGGGCCACCAACCCTCCATCTTCCCTATGTTATCCTGCCTCATGGCGGCCTGCATCGCACTCCTGAAGGCAAGGGCACTGGTCAAAATACTGAGTTGAGTCCGAGCACACCCCTCCTCAGCATCCTGGGGAGAGACCTGGGCAGGAAGATGTGGCATGACACCTGTGCCCACCCTGCTCCCTGGCTGCTGGGGAAAGCTCTTCCCGTTCTCTTCCTCTGCATTAACCAAGGCACCATCCACTGGACCCAAGGCCAAGGGGGCCACCCATAGGAACCTGGAACCCTCCACATACCAAGACTTGTCCTTGGCTAGGTGTAAGGGGCCTGTACAGGCAAGGGAGGCAGGGGAGAGGTTGGACATGAACAGATGCACCATAAATAATGACAGGCAACTGTGAGCAGAACAGGTGGACACAAATCCAGCTGGCCACAAAGCCAAGATCCCCTAAGCATGAGCTAAGGTTGAAAGTGGATGTGAACACAGAGCAACTGGAGTGGACATCTACCTGCTAGCCAGGGAGGTTAGTCCTACTCCCAAGCATCACAAAGGGGAATCATTTGGGGTTGGGTGGGTCAGCTTGCAGCAGGAACTCTGCCTGACAAGTGGCCGCAGCCTGGAAGGAGGCAGCCACTGTGACATCAAAGACCAGCACACAGCATGCCCAGGGACTGGAACATCTCCATGCCTGCCATGTCCCAGAGCTGCACCAATGAGGCAGAAAGGCTTGGTTACATTCCTGGGCTGCAATCCATCCTTCTGGAAGAAAGGACAATGCTGAAATCCAAGCTTCCTCAAGCCATACTGGGAGCCCCAGGGCATCGTGGCCCCTGGAGCTGCTGCTTCACATAATTCTGTTGAGCAGTGAGGCTGCCCTGTTCAGCCAGCCTGCTGGGAGCATCTGGGCAGGTCAGACAGTCATAGAGCCAGCGAGGGGATGCTGGCCCTTACCCGCAGTTACCGCCTGGCCTTCGAGCTGCATCACCGTGAAATCAGCACCAATGGTTGCCCCATACTGACTGCTGAAGCTGTTGGTGATGAACTGATTTGACAGAGAGGACTTGCCCACCCTGTGGGGTCACAGGTCAGAGGGGTCTGTGGATTCAGACATTTCCAGCTGTCCCCTCTCCTGCTGCATCCCCGTGCCACAAGCTTGCTGGGGCCACTGCCCAGTCTGCTCTGCCCAGGCTCAGCCCAGGCCCCCCAGGCCCCCTAGGGTCCCTCCCGGCTCACTTCAAGGGCAGGGAAAAGTGGCTGGTGGGGGGAGGCCAGCCCCGCGGTGCCCCCTCGTCCCAGACCGTCCTGCCAGCTCACCCAGCATTTCCCACCAGGAGGATCTTGAGTCTAGGGCGCCCAGCAGAGGCCATCTCAGGCCTCCAGGGACTTGGCCGCCGGAGAGTCCCGACGAGGCCGACGGCGGAGGCGGAGACAGCAAGAACTCTGACCTGCCTTTGAGCCCAGAGTATGGTCTTCAGGGAGTCAGGACAGCGGCCTCACAGGAGGCAGGACCCAGGGAGAGGTGAGGGGAACTGTCCCTCCGAGCAGAGCAGTAGGAGCAATGCAAGGGGTGGGGAGGACATGGGCAGCTGAGTGACGGTCACGGGACCGCGACCAGCTCGGTCTGCCTTCCTGGAGGAGAGGGAGGGATGAGCGGGGGTCTCCGACTGCGACTGGTCAGTGGTGGGGCTTGCGGGGGAAGGTGGGGTCAGAAGCCCGACGCAGAGATGGGGGGATCCCCGACGGCTGGGTCCTGAGGCCCGGGGCCTGTGGAGGGACGGGGCGGGCAGCGCTGGGGGCCGCTCGAGCACACTGGGAAACTCGGGACCCGGAGAGATGGGGAAGTCCCGTGGGGGAGTTGCTCCTCCAAGCCCCGAGTCCCCCCAGGACATGGAGAAGGAGCGGGAGACCCTGCAGGCCTGGAAGGAGCGTGTGGGACAGGAGCTGGACCGCGTGGTGGCTTTCTGGACAGAGCACTCCCACGACCAGGAGCATGGGTACGCCTCAGCAGCGTCTTCGTCCCTCCCGAGCCCCTACCTCATTCTCAGGCAACCCTCAGATCTGCGGGCAGGACGGGCCCCTTCCCCGCCCTCGCTAACGCTGCGCATCCCACAGGGGCTTCTTCACCTGCCTCGGCCGCGATGGGCAGGTGTATGACGACCTCAAATATGTCTGGCTGCAGGGGAGGCAGGTAGGGGATGTTTCCAGCCTGGCAGCTTACCCAGGGGCGGAAGCCAGAGTCAGCTTGGCGTGTCCAGATTCATTCAGGCCACACACACACAGGCGCACACGCACACGCGCACACAGGCACACATACACAGGTGCGCACGCACACACAAGCGCGCACACACGCACACACACAGGAGCACACGCACACGACAAGGCTCATGATCTCAACACTCTCCTTCTCACCATAAGGACACTTAGGACTCCCCGTCACCCTAGCCGCTCCCCCCTTAAACCGTGTTCCCTCCTTTTCCACCACAGGTATGGATGTATTGTCGCCTGTACCGAAAGTTTGAGCGCTTCCACCACTCTGAGCTCCTGGACTCAGCAAAAGCAGGTGCCCTCTGCCCAGCCCCCATCTCCCAGCAGCCCGCCCATGTTTACTCGATAGGGCACGTGTGCTCAGTTCCCAGAGTGGTCTAGAAGCAGCAAAGGGCTTGGGGAGGCTCAAAAGCAGCATGGCCGGGCCGTCCTCACCTGAGTCCTAGCATGCCAACTTCCCCCACCAGGTGGCGAATTTCTGCTGCGTTATGCTCGGGTGGCACCTCCTGGCAAGAAGTGTGCCTTTGTACTGACTAGGGACGGCCGCCCGGTCAAGGTGCAGCGAACCATCTTCAGCGAGTGTTTCTACACCATGGCCATGAACGAGCTGTGGAGGGTGACAGGGGACACGCGCTACCAGGTGTGTGGAAGGAGAGCTGCCACGACAACCACTGGGTCTAAGGCTGCACCGTCTCCCAGCATTTCAAAGGCGGCCCCGCACGGTGCTGTGAGCTGGCTCAGCTACTTCACTCTTGGGGACCGCGCCCCTAGTTCTCTGTCCATCCCTGTCCTCTCCCCACTCCTCAGACAGTCCAGCTTCCCCTGAAAGTTGAAGTCTGTTCATCCCTTTCTTCCGTGTCATAAATTCTGCAGAGTCTCGAGGTCCTTCCTCTGGGCCACCATGGCCCATGTCTCTCTTATTGCACTGTATTGTCATCGTGTGTCTGTGGGTGTCTCCCCTCCCCCTGAATCTCCTTCCCCTCTGAACCAGCCGAACAGCCCCGGCGCCCCGGGCAGAGAGGGCCCAAGCCACGCCCCACCCCTGGCTGGGAGGGGACTTCTCCCCCTCTGGGACCCTGTGCTGCCAGACCCCCACCCGCTACCTGCGAGTGGCCTGCACCCCCAGACTGGGAGCCACCATGGCAGGGTGTGGCCATCTCCTAGCACCCAGCACCCGACCTCGGGACCAGGCCCAGGCCCGGTCCTCGGGACCCTGCAGGTCCCTGGGGGATGGGACAGATGGGACAGGATGCAGCCTCAGCCTGGGCCTCCCCTTGCCTGTCCCCCCAGAGGGAAGCGGTGGAGATGATGGATCAGATCGTCCGCTGGGTGCGAGAGGACCCATCCGGGCTGGGCCGGCCCCAACTCCCGGGGGCCCCAGCCGCGGAGCCCATGGCGGTGCCCATGATGCTGCTGTGCCTGGTGGAGCAGCTCGGGGAGGCGGACGAGGAGCTGGCGGCCAGACACGCAGAGCTGGGCGACTGGTGCGCCCGTAGGATTCTACAGCATGTCCAGGTGGGGCCGCCAGGGGGCAGGGCGACCCCAGCCCACACCCCACTCTCCGGGTCGCCTCCTTTACCTGCACCCACCCTCCACCTTTACCATGGGAGACACGGGAGGCTCTGGGCGAGGTGTGGCCAGAGTCCTCAGGAAGGAGAGAGCCAGGTAGGGCTGAGGGCTGTGGGAGAGGCCAGAGCCCCAGGCAAGTCCTGAGAGCAGGAGATCCAGGTGGCCCCTAACCCTCCCAGGCCTCTGTGGGTGACCAAGCCCGCCCTGTCTGTCCCCATGTAATGTTTCGCCCTACCCCCAAGAGGCTCAATGCCTGAAGGAAGAATTAGAGGCTCCTCTGACAGACGTGGGAGTGAGCTGGTCCCTCCTCAGACACCCCTCTGAGTCAGGCCAGCCCAGGCCTGCAGCTCGGGAGGCTTGGGTGGGAGAAAGGGGTTTCTGAGGCTGGGTCTTTCTGGTTGTTTGGACTGGGACTTGGCGGGCGGCTGGAGGCAGAGCTACTTTCTCCTCTCCTCTGGCAGAGGGATGGACAGGCTGTGCTGGAGAATGTGTCAGAGGATGGCAAAGAACTTTCTGGTTGTTTGGGGAGACACCAGAACCCAGGTGAGGGGGCAGGGTGGGCTGGAGGCCTCCCAGGAGGAGGGGTGTGCTCAACCTTGGGCCCTGGGCTTCAGATATGGGGAGCACGTGGGGCTGCTTTCCTCCCTTCACCCTGCACGGAGAAGCAGGCAAAGGAGAGGGGCCAGGCCTCCCAGGGCCCGGGCCTCGGTGGGGCGGCAGGAGCAGGAGTCAGGGGAAGCTTTCCGCAGCGGCCTTCAGGGCAGGGCGGAAGGGCTGAAACGGGGGGGCTGTCTGGGGCGGGGACTTTTTCGGGAGGCAGGAGGCTCTGCCTGGGCCTGAGAGCGCTCGCTGTCACACACTCACACTCATGCTCACGCGCACACACACTCGTGTGTACACACGAACACGTGCTCACACTCGTGCACACATGTGCACACACACTCATGCACACATGCGCTCACACTCATGCACACGTGCGCTCACACTCACGCACACGTGCGCTCACACTCACGCACACACACGCGCACACTCACGCACACACGCGCTCACACTCATGCACACACGCGCTCACACTCATGCACACACGCACTCACACTCATGCACACGTGTGCACACACTCATGCACACACCGCGCTCACACTCATGCACACACACGTGCACACACGCGCAGACATGAACGCTCACGCACACTCACACATACACACACTCTCCCGTACCTGGGGGTGGACCTGGTTCCCGCCTCACCCCAACCCCTCGCCAGGACACGCACTGGAAGCAGGCTGGTTCCTGCTGCGCCATGCCATCCGGAAAGGCGACCCTGAACTTCGAGCCCACGTTATCAACAAGTTCCTGTTGTTGCCTTTCCGCTCTGGATGGGACCCTGACCATGGAGGCCTCTTCTATTTCCAGGACGCCGACGACCTCTGCCCCACCCAGGTGGGGCACACACAGGGCCCATGCGTTGCTCACCCTGTTCTAAGGCTTTCTGCCCTGGGAGGGGGGTGCTGTAGTCATCCTTGTCTCACGGAAGGGGACTCGGGATTTGAACCTGACTTCTGTGCCAGTGGTTCCTAAGCCCATGTCATATGGAGACCATTAGGGAGCTTGTGCACATGCTGGTGCTCAGACACACGTCCCTCTGTCCGGAGCCCAGTGCCTTTGAAAGGCTGTCTGGGCAACTTTAATGTGTTGGTGGCCGGACGAGGTTGCTTCCTTATGCTGTGTTGCCTCGGACTGCACCTTGATCCGGTGCAGGTCTCCGGAGGGTGACTGTCCCGACCATGAACAGGAGCCGAGTGTCCAAGGGGCTTAAGGACAGATGGACAAGACAGGGTTTTGATTCAAGGGCTAGGGGAGCCTGCCCCACCCTCGCTCTAATTTTAGAGGGGCTGCGTGGGGTGCATCGAAGTCAGGAAACTAGTCCCATTCTGAAGGGCCATGGATACTCTCCCCAGAGATGTCCCACAATTAAGCTCCAAGTGCTTGGGCCAGATGCAGACTGAGCCAGGTCCGGTAAAATGAAGGGTGGGGGACGCACCCTGCAGAGAGGGCTGTGGGGGCGGGGGGACCCAGACAACTGCCTCTGCTCTGCTTTCAGCTGGAGTGGGCCATGAAACTCTGGTGGCCGCACAGTGAAGCCATGATTGCCTTCCTCATGGGCTACAGTGACAGTGGGGACTCTGCTTTGCTGCACCTCTTCTACCAGGTGGCCGAGTACACCTTCCGCCAGGTGAGTGCTGCCTCCTCGTCTCCTCTAAAGGCTCTGTGAGGGTGCAGAGGAGATGGCAGGCAGCCATTCCTCCCCCGGCAGGCTGTGCCAGGGCCAGGCTTTCCTGAGGCTGTGGGAGGAGGCTGGGCAGGGATGGGGGGCATGTAGAGGTTGCGCTGGGCGGGCCTGGGGGGCATCTGGCCTGGCTGGGGCCAGGGAGGCTCTTCCCCATCCCCCTCCTTGCCCCCTCCCTGGGTGTGGCCCCTCAAATGGTCTGAGAGTTCCTGGAGCTCCGGTGCCCTTTGTCCACTCAATGAGAAAGAGTCTGCCCTCCTAGAGCTCACATTTCAGTGAGGGAGGGGTGTGGGTGGTGGTGTGCAGTCTATAAACAAGGAAACGAGCAAACGTAGTGACCATCGAGGTACAGAAAATAATAAAGCAGGAGAAGCAGGGCCAGGGAAAACCTCCTGAGTGGCAGCAGGAGATAGAGCAGAGACCTGAGTCAATGTACGAGCAGGGCAGGAGTGTCTGAGGGACTGGGGCAGGGCCCAGCGAGGAAAGGGCGCATGGCAGGAGCATGTCAGACCTGCCAGAGCCCAGCAAGGGGGCTTCATAACCTTAAACAGGGAGACCTGGTAGCCTTGGGAATGAGGGCAAGTGGGAATAAAGGCAGACGGGGCAGGGAAAGGTCTCTGTGCAGAGGAGTCACCTCTCTGATTTAGGTATGTCTGGGGGCTTTGGAAGGGGAGACTGCTGGAGGGCACAGAGCAGAGGCAGGGAGAGTGAAGGAGGCTCAGGGGGAGAGCTGCGGGGCAGAAGGGGCAGGGTCTGGTCCAGCAGGAGTTGGATTTCTCCGTCTCTATTTGACCACAAATGTTTAGGTGCCACAAGGATATAGTTACTGAGAGCCAAGAGGCAAAGTAAGCTTCCGAGCTCCCAAGGAGAAGAGAAGAGGGGATAGGAGCACACCTGGCAAAGGAGACAAGAATCAGTTGTGGGGTAGGAAGTAAACCAAGCCAGGGCCCCCCAGAGGTCCAAGTACTACAGCAGAGTGAGGAGCTGTGCCTGCGAGTGCCACACCAGGGCAGGGCACCCACAGGTGCAAGGACTGGGTGGTGAATGAAGATTTGTGAGGTGTTTCTAAAGCCACAACTGACTCACTCCATTGGTAAACCTGGGTACTGGAAGGACTATAGCAAGGGATCTTATCCCGGGATCTGTCGGCTGCAAAACCTGGGGGAACATTACATCTTTATTTGAACTAACTTCCAACTGAAATCTAGCATTTGCTTCCATTATGAACAGAGGCAAGGAACCACAGTGGTATTAGCAGCACCTGGCTTTGTCAACAACAGAAATGCCAGATGTGTTTATACTATGTTGCAGTTAGAGAGGCATCTCCAAGTATCACGCTGGCGAGGCAATGCTTCCAAACAGCACCAGTTGTTAGATCTGTGGGTGTATCTTCATATCGGAAGCATTCATAAAGAGCATGTATTAAAGGCCACAGGTTTTAACTATAAAGTGAAATGGAAGGAATACATTTCAATGAGAGAGAGATGACATCAAACAATTACAAAAGCTATAGTCAACAGGTAATATATTATGCACTAACCAATAACAGAATACAGAAAGCAAAAATCCAGATATCTATTTGGATCTCCTTACCGGCCAGCTGCCAAAAAAACCACAACCAAACAATAACAGAGAATCCAGATATCCAAAGAAAAACTGCACAGAAAAGCAATTAATATGGAAAATTTAAGAATTCTTCATTATCTCCCTGTTTCAGATCAAGTAGTCAAAAAATAAATAAGAATGTGAACAATGTAACTCGGAGAATAAGTATTCTCCCTTATGAAGAATACACTAACTCTCATAGGCTACAATTTGAGACATTTTGATAGTTAATGTCAATGAAATTGATTTCACCTGTGATCCTTCTGAGAAAGGGCTCTACTTAACTTTGTATCAGGTAAGGAAAAGGAAGGGCACAGGCCAGGGCCCTGTAGTGTGCCCTGACAGGTGTGTGATGGGATGGGGGCAGGAGAGAAGGAAGTAGTGTGGACTGGGTCCACTGAGCTGCTGTTCCCTGAATCAGAAGCAGCAGAGCAGTGGGCAGGGGCAGAGAGAGGACAAGATGCATTTGGGATCACTGGTGAGGAAGGACACGAGTTAGATGTCAGTGCTGGATGTACGCAGTCTCATCTACTAAAAATCCTGTGAGGCACGAAACAGGAGCTCCGGGCGTGTCACTTATTATATAGTGGCAGGTCATTGCCTCCATCAGATTCTTTCTTTAAATCCATTGTATCGAAGTACAACTTAGACACCCTAAAATGTATCCATTTGAAGTGTTCAGTTCAAGGGCCCACCCCGTGGCCCACTCCGGAGAGTGCGGCGCTGGGAGTGCACCGGCGCTCCCGCCGCCGGTTCGGATCCTATATAGGGATGACCGGTGCGCTCACTGGCTGAGCGCGGTGCGGACGACACCAAGCCAAGGGTTACGATCCCCTAACCGGTCACCAAAAAAAAAAAAAAAAGTGTTCAGTTCAAAGAGTCATGACAATGTGTGCACCTATATAACCGCCGCCACAATCAGGATACAGAACATGTGTATCGTCCCAGAGTGGGGTTCTGTGTATTCCACCTCTCAGTGTTTAATCTCAAGGCCTATAGCTGCAGACTGCCCGCTACCTTCCACCCCTGCTTTCATCTTTCTTCAGGACTCGGTGTCCCGGTTAAGAGCACTTGATTCTGGAGCCACGTTACCTGGGGTCAATTCGGGTTCTGACCCCCGGTAGCGGTGCAGTGGGACCGGCGAGCACCCCTTCCGCAGGCCATGGCATGTAGGCGTGTCCTGCAGGCGCTAGCTGTCACTGTCTCCTTGCTATTCCAGTTTCGCGATCCCGAGTATGGGGAATGGTTCGGCTACCTGAACCGAGACGGAAAGGTCGCCCTCACCATCAAGGGGGGTCCTTTCAAAGGTGAGTGGGGCCAGGGCTGGGCCGCAGGGGCTCGTGGCACTTGTCTCGCTCTGGCCCTCCCAACCTTGCCGCCCGCCTCTCCCCGCAGGCTGCTTCCACGTGCCGCGGTGCCTGGCCATGTGCGAGGAGATGCTGGACGCCCTGCTGAGCCGCCTCGCCCCGGCCCAGGTCCCCGCCCCCGCCCGCCGTGGCGCGGAATAAAGCCGAGCCCGCCCAGCTGCCGTGTGCGCGCGTCTGTGGGCTCGCGGGGGCG